GGGGGGGGGAGGGAACGAGGAGCAGACCAATTTACCTTTGTAGTTCCATTTGACGTCCGGGTGGGCGGCGACAATGGCCCTGACCATACGGGCTTGCGCCTCGTACGTCTTGTAGTTTGCTTTGGAGTTTGTCGGCGCCATGGCGTTTGAGGGCGGCAGTAAAGGGTGGGATTTTTACCGCGCAGATGCCAAGCGAGTGGTGTAAATGAAGCTCGCCTGGTGAGAATGATGGGAGTGCCTACGCATCCGTCGTGCGCACAAGGGCTAGATCTTGGAGGCGAAGAAGGAGAAAGGAAGTTGTGTAGGTAAATGTATGCGAGGGTGTAGATGGAGTTGCAAACGTCTGTATATAAGAAAACGGATATATCAATCCGTGCCAGCTGGCGCCGGCCGGGTAAAGGTGACGAGGAAGTGAGCTCGACTACACGTGGTGTTTGGGTGGTATCTGTCCTGGTGGAAGATTAGCACCATGGCATTGTTAAGCTGAGTTGCTAAGCTTGTTTCTGGTTAAGCATACCTGTTGATGGATTAGGCCACAGATTGTCAGACGTGGTCTATCGCGCTGTGAGGCAAACGCCGTCCAAGTTGAAGGTGAAGATGGGTGGTTGAGAACTCGGCGGCTAGTACGCAAGAACCAACACAGCCAAGTCGCTTCTCTTCCAATTGATCCGACCAATCCTCTTAATGAAGAATGATTTTTTTTTATAAACGATGAACAAGAAACAACCGCCAAGTACATCTACCCAAGCACCCAGCTTGACTGCATCTGCTGCACCTTTCGACGTTGGCTGCCTGCAGTGTAGAGTAAGAAGTGAGGTGGCTGGGCACTCGCATCCCCCAAATCTAGGAGCTGCATGGTGCACGCTCGATAACCACTACATTGAGCACAAACTCTACTGGGCACGCACACTCACCACAGGGCTCTAAAAATGACTGCTTGCGACACATTATCAAGGTAAATGCCTCTTGGGCTCTTATTACAATATTATATACGCGCCTTTGGACGCACGGGCGACAAAATACCCAGTGGCCTTTGCGGACGTGGCTGTACCGCTCTATCACAACTTAACGCCTTGCGCGCCAGGGGGGAGATGCCCGACTTCGTTTCTGCGCCCCTCCCCCCCCCGCCTTTTTCCAACAAGTATCAACCCGGCCAAACCACAATGCTTTATCGTCATGTATATCCTGCTCCCCACTGTTTGAATGACAAGTACTAGATGCCTCGTGTATCTGCACCTGCACCCGCGACACTGCCCCTCGGCATAAATATCTGTTGCAATCGCATCCGGTCCGGTAGTCGTTACCGTGACTGCTCGTTTGTTATCAATAATGGCTTCATTCGTGTAATAAAATGCTCCCTTGCCGAAGCAATCGTTTCCAATATAATCAAAACATGGTTCTTCGTCTGCAGCCTCGCCTTTCCGTACCGCAGCCCGCTCAGAACCGTCCCCAAGACCGTCATCTATTCCGCCTCGGTATCGCTGAACATGGTCCCTCGCTTCCCGGCCGACGTGCTTCGCGTGTGAGAATGTGAGGCCCGGTGGCCGCGCGCCCAGTGAGCCTCCTCCATAGCGTGCTCCTTCAAAACGGCTTCGCCATCACCAGCGCCATAAATGAAATACTGGATGCCTAGTAAACAATCGCAGGCGGCCTGGAAGCAGCCGCAGACCTTGAAGGCCAGGGGGATCTCGCTCGTGGACGTAAAGAACCAAAAGACCTTCATGGCGTCACCGCCGATCCAGCTTGCCAGGACGGACAGCCGGAAGCCCTTGCACGATTGCGATTGGGCATTGGCTATTAGCTGCGGGATGGGCAGGGTCGCCTCGATGGAGAGGCCGAGGTATCCGATGAGCACCGAGTACGCGTCGTAGATGGGCTCCATGGGCCGCAACAGGACTTCGCAGACGATGAGACCGCCGAGGAGGTAGAGGAGGAAGTGCCAGTATCTGCCACGGTCAAATCAGTGACTTATCCTTGGGGCCGTTTCACGCGCAGCTTGTATTCCACGAGGGAAGCAAAGGGACGACAGGAACGACATACGGCTTGTGCGACCGCCACTGCCAAAAGTTGTAAGGCCGTTGAATGTCAAACGGGCCGCCTCGTTCGAGACCAGAAAACGGCATGCTGCCCTCGCCGCCCTTGGTCGCAGGCAGTGGCCTGTGTTCCAGCGCAATCTTGAGCAAAATGAGCTGCACCACCACCATGATGAATGACTGCACCAGCAGACTAGCATCGAATCGCGAGCCCGGCCAGTAAAAGATTCTGTACCGAGCAAAGGAAAAAGAAACCGCCTCGTTAGCATCAAGTCCCCTTGTATGGATTGCCAACGCGTTTCTGGGCTGTTTGGGCGCATTCGCGCATCGTAGATGGGTAGACATACCTGAAGAAGGAAGCCACCAGCATAATCAACGGGATATCCAAAGAAAAGCCGGCACTCGATTTGTTCCGATGCATGGCAAGAATCTGGTCGCCGTACGAGATGATGGGCGACATGATGATGAAAAAGGGGGCAATGAAGCCCGTCAAGTTGGTTAGCCAGGTCATGATGCCCGTCGGTGTCTTGTCTCTGTCGACAAAGGAGAGGAGGAGTTGCGCGAGCGAACGGCGAGACAGAATGCGGCAGCAAGCGACGGTAAGAAGCAGAAAAAAAAGAAATAAAAAAATTCCGCTAAACGGCTATGATGATTCCATTCGCAAATACGCAGAGAAAGGCAATGTTTGGCTGCAGAACGAGCGCTGGGTGAAGAAATGGAATGTCCTTTTCCTGCCACGAGACACTCTCGTCGACGACGATGTGGGTGCGGTGGTGGCACGGCCTTTTTTTTCCGGCGGGATAACTTTCTACAGTTGCTGGAATTCGATACCCTTTGGCTCCGTGCGAGCTAATTAGTGCCGTGGCCCTCCTCTGACAGGCGTGTTTGGAGGCACCTGGGAAAGGAACCGGCCGCCCATTGGCCAGCGAGTCCGTGCATTGTCCTCCCAGGTGCAGTATAAACATGTGCCCAGGTTGTATGCGGTCAATCCTTAGGTGCCTAGGATTAATGGTTGACGGCCCGGCTACAGCGGGGGGAGGCCCCGGGGCAGCAACTGGGGCCGCTGGCTCCCACAGTTCAGGCACTGTAGATTGACGGACACTTCAGCCGGCGAGTGGGCGCGGCCCGGTGGTCCAAGTCGCTGACTTCGTGCATGCGCAGCGCCGTATTAAACCACTACACCGCCAAAGGTACTCGACAGCTCAGGTCTGGTACCTGCATCTGGGCGCACAGCCCTACAAATCGCCAAGTACAGGGTACGCGGCCCATCAGAGCAAAATGCACATCGCACCAAGTAATAACCAAGTACACGAAAAGCGCAATCAAGCCGCCTGCGTCCTTGGATTCCTGCCAACGTCTTCCAGCATCGCAATCTGGTTCGCTCCATCGTGCAGTCATTATGCCAAGTAAAACTGCCCGAACCGATGCACACGTGGGCTCCTGCTGACTTGGACAAAAAAAAAAAAAGGGCCAAGCCCCTATTATTGGAATTATTCGCATCCATTCATTCCCATGGCCCCATTATCCCCATCCCCTGCTCCTCGAAAGCCGTCTTATCACTATTACTGCCTAGGTAATTTTAATATCGGTACGCAGAATTCCGTGGAGGGGACATTCCGCCATCCAAGTCATGTCCTCCAGCTGCGCCTTGATGCCTCGCCTTAGCTCGCTGCGTATTAAGCCCTCCCTTTATCATGCGAGCCAGAGTTCACGCGACGAAGCGGCAGGTTCCTACCAGTGCCAGGCGACACCCAGACGCCTCCCCCTGTCCTTGATATTATGGCTATTTCTAGCTAGGATCTAGAAGGGCGACAGGCGGGCCTGTTCATGGTATCACAATAATGCAGGGAGTATGTACTACTTGAATAAAACTAAGTGGCTAGCCCGCTTACTGCCGACGGGTAATGTAATCGCCCCTTTTCACTAGCGGAAAAGAATAATACAATGATGAAAAAAAAGCAATAATAGCATTGAAACATGTGGCGAGTCCACTTGATAATTGTTGTACAAAAAAAATGTCAAAAAAGAGAATCGACAACAGCCAGATTCGAACTGACGCGGGCGAACCCAAAAGATTGCATGACATTCGATAAGCCGAACATTCGAGTCTTTCGCCTTAACCACTCGGCCATGTTGCCCAATTCGTTACATTCCGTTACGTAAGCTTAGAACTAATTATAGACCTATTCCTCAATCCCCTCATCGTGCACCTCGCGCTCAAGATGTCAGAATGAATAGACACCAAAGCACAACTTGGACCCGAATAAATTCATGAAGAATCAGTCGAACATCTGCATGGTCCCGAGAACTAATCGTCCCGGCAGGATCCAGCACAGTTCAACGAGTGTACTACTTGTAGGGCACCGCGAACAGATCCCCTTTGATCTTGAACTTTCACTTGGCGTAAGCAGTCCCAACATCTTTTTTTTTTCTGTAACCACAACCTTGCCTTGAGTTCCTAGCAGAAGTCTAACCTGGGCCCATACATGAGGCGTCACTGCTCAATTTTCAATTCACAACGCACATTTCCGTCCAGGTGCTCCTAGTGTACTCCGTAAGTCAAGACACATGCCCCTTCTTTACCACCTCGATATGGCCAACCGCGGCTCACCAACTTCAGTGATCCTATAACCAGGTATGCACCACATGTCAAAATACGACAAGATGACCCCTGCCTTGCGACTTACAGACATGTCCTGCAGCCTCCTGTTCCAACGTCCGCAGAACAAGAAGGGACCGTACATCATGAGCATACTTTTTTCAGAATCAAGACGGAAATAAATACGGCAAAGGTCATATCAAACGTTGAATCCCCCAGGCACCCCCCTACCACGTACCAGCGTCGCAAAACAACAGCAATCACTCCCAAGGAGACCATCGAAGAAATCCTCCCCGGGATCCTACAGATTCAGCAGCGCAAGGCTGAGGATTCACGTCCCTGTCCTGCTCCTCACGACCAAAACAACACCCAGCGCAACAAACGGCGTGTGCTACAGGAGTACATGTCAGTTGCGCGATCAGAAAGCTCACAACAAGACAATATGCGTCAAGGAAGAAGAACAAGCCATCAAATCTTCAAGCCCGCACCATCATGCAGATATCTGCCGCCGCTGAATCCCCTGTATTTCCAATGATCAGCAACGCAGAAACGCAAAGACCACTTTGCAACTTTTCGCCCAGACAAACCTACGGACAGTGCCGAATCTGGACCTCCAGCATTGCCGGGATATACACGACTTGAGGCAAATCTACCATGGAGAGCCCAGTCTCACCAAAATAGTGCACTTTCAGCCTCCAGATAGTTACATACTTTACGTGGCCCAGTGTACAGTAATCAAGGAGCGTGCTTCAGTGGTACATGCATACTTGCGCGAATGCGGAGTTCTAGTCGAACGACGCACAAGAAATAGGACGCACAAGAAATACAGGGTCGGCGTACAAGTCCTAGATCAAAGGCAAGAGGGGAAAAGAGCAAAATACGCCATTGACTTGAACTGCGCGGCCGCCCTGGTTCGATGTGACGACCAAGCGGCAAATATCTACCCTGCGTACCCGCCGTCGTCGCTCGATACATGCCGTGGATTTGAAGCCAGAGTAGAGGTGCACGTCCTCCTGGACAGATGTGTAGACAGCAGAAACATACATGCGAGTGACGATCGACGCTTGTTTGCCATCATTCACGGCAGTCATGTCCGTCAAAGCAACACGGCGGGAAACGCAAGTTGTTCCTCTCCGTACACGTCCCGTATAATCCGTCTTCCTGCTCCATGACCCATGAATAGCTTCAACTTGTCTCACACTTCAGCAAGTCACCCAGCTACCCTAAACACCCATTCATTCCTCGGCAACTATCGCGAGCACCATGTTTATTCTACAAAATCAATCCAAAGGAGCGGCCATGTCGTTTCTTCCACGTTACAAAGACAATGGACTCGATACAAGCTTCTTGATTACAACATGGCGGTTACAAAGACAAGCGGAAAATCTGTATAACTCGTAGAAGCCCAAGTATATCCAACCACCGTGTCACCGGTATACTTGGATAACATGGCTGCAAGCACAGCTACGATAGATAGCACGGCACGTCCATGAGCAGACCACCATGCCAGCAGCAATCCCCGCGCACCATGACCGCCCGGCGAGACAGCCAGCCCGTGCACGTATGTAGATCTTCAGCTCGACGATCGATCTTCGGTCGTGACGGGTCCTCAACCCAAGACATCTGCAAAGCCTTCCAGAACCAAACGAACCGCGTTCCCCGGAGGATTACTACGTACACCCGAATACTACGGACCGTTCCATCAAGGACCGTGCGCCACGGAGTTACTCCGTAGGGGGTAACCTACTTTCAAAGGGAAAAAAAAAAAGGAAGATGGTTGCAACGAGACAAAGAGCCCAACATCGCCAGAGCAGGGCGTGCAGACGCAATTCCAAAAGGACCAGGCGTGTTCGCCACAATTGATACAGCGTTGTTGGCCGTTGGCCGTTGGTAGTTGTTTGTTTGTTGGTTGCCCTCTGTTTTGGACCTCGGACAGGGCCAAGTTCCGAGTCAGCTTGCCTTCTCCCACTCTCGTCTGGCCGGTCCTGGGCGGTGCGGGCTCCTCGTAAAACGGTTGTATTTTGCACTCTGTTTTCTTGGACTGTTGTTATTCCACCAACCAGCACGTAGATGATGGACACTAAACGCAACCTAATTTTCCATGACTGCCTGTCCGCGATGCTCTTTTTTTCCCCCCTTGGCTTCTTGACAAATGGCAATCACAAGCCTTTCTCCGAACGGCATTGACTTGTGTGTCATCAACCAACGGGTGCGAAATTGGGGCCGACCGTCGTACTCGTCGCAAACACGCCCCCCCAATGGCGTGCGTCTAACTCGTCGGCATGTTGTTGTTTCGGGGAGCGCCAAATGAGAACAAAAAGAGTAACCACTGGTTTCGTCTGTTCGGGGGCATGTAACATTGAGTTGGATCGACCTGCAACATGCACCAGCGCCAGCATCGGCACCAGCATCGGCACCGGCATCAGCACGCCCTCCTCCTCCGTAACTCCGCCATGCGAGTTGTGTCATCCTCGGTACGAATGACATAGCAGGGCACCTCTGGGGCCGGCTTCAATACCCCTTCTGGATTGTTACCGTATATGGGCGAATCGCGTGCTGACCTTGTTCCCCCATAAACCCATAAAGCTTATCATGGTCCGCCATGTGGAACGGAACTCCTGGACTCGTACGGAGTAATCCACGTACTGAGCCCTTGGTCAGCAAGTATCCATCCCCTGTCATCTACTCGGGAGTGGCCCTTCAAGAACCCTGGGTTATGTACTCCGTATTATGTATGTACACCGCACATAACGGGGAACATACTCCGTACTACTAAAGACGTGTGCAAAAATTGGGGGCAGGCAGATGAGGTTGTCGGCTCCTTCACCAGGGCTTCGGGCCCTTCTCCTTTGCGGCTCTGCCGTGAGGCCTGAACAATATGCCTCCTGCATTTGTGCCGCAGGCGCACCCATCTTCAAAAGTAATGGGCAGCCGAGTGGAGAGAGAATGTCGATGGAAAGACGGTGTGTTGCAGATTTTTTTTGCTATCCTCCTGCTTCGTTTGTCCCTTGCTCCGTGTGTACTTGCTCTGGAGTAGGTACATGCATACATACGTACATTCGCCGCGGCGCACTCGTACGGCCAACAACCGTGTTTGTTCTGGAGGTGTCGTCGGAGCCGGTGTCAGATGTTATTATCACAAGAGCATTGTTCTTCAACACCTATTGGAGCAAAATGCCATGCTGTAGATCCATGCGCTTCCTTGGTGGCTCCTGATAAAAATGGGACATGGACGCTACGTATTTGCCCCTTTTCCTGGCCGTTTAACCCCAGTCGGTCCGACTCAGATCAGGCTGCGTGGCGATTGACGGGTACAGAGATCCTGTGCAACTTGTTATGCTGCCGTGCTTTGTCGTGGTCAACTCGCCACAGCGTAGTACCCGCACGCGGCTGTTCCACTCGCAACCATTCAGGTCATCCTCCCGCCAGCCACACGCAAGAGCAACTTGCCAAATAGGGACAGTGCCGGCTCTCGCCTGAGATACACATCTCATGTTTTCCGATGGCGTCGGGGGTTTGGGGGCTTCGGAACCCGCATGTGGAAAGCGAACGAGAGGCCAGGTCCAGACGTCCTCGGGCGGCAGACGGCCAGGGGAATGCACCAAACTCCCGCTGCTACTCAAAAGTTCTCAGCGTCCAGAACATGCGGGGAGTTGCTCGCCTATGTACATACCATGTAATACTATTACGGTGGACGGAGAGCAGCCAGCATCAAACCAATCCATGGCCGGACGGCTGGGGCATGGCAGGCGGTGCTGTCCATGTGCTGTTTGTTGTCCAGACGCTGTTCCAGTTGCTGCAGACTTTGGCTGTTGCCTACGACCCGAGGATTTGGAACTGGACAACACACTCACACACTCGGACAGTTGACATTGATGCCTGAAATGGCGTCCATCTCAACAGTCGACCGGCGGCCCAGCTTCAGCAGCCACTGATGAAATTCGCCAGCCAAGATTCTCTTGAATGGAGTTGGCATCTGTCATTAGTAGGCGCCAAGTGAGGGGAAGTATGCCATGCACGAGTGACATGGTACTTGTGCCACCGCCATCCCGCCATTTGCCAAACTAAAGTTGTTGGTTTAGACGCTCAAGCACCGCCTTCACTTCGTCTGACCAACATTGAACCTGTCGCCCGAGCCGTGTACAGTCGTGTACATACACGCACGGAAGATACAGGGGCATTGCCCTGGATCTTTTTGCTGATCGCCCGCATATTGCACCGGTCATACGTGTTGGCGATTGTTGCATCTGCCCATCAGTCGTGTGTGTGCTAATGTAGTCTCAGACCCCAAGACCAACAACCACACTTCTGCGTCATGCTCAGCGCACGAGCCATGCCCGCTGGCTCGGCCGGATTCATATGTAAAACGTGACAAACTTCCGTTGCATGGTGGCATCGGACGCGTGTCGAGAAACTGCTGTGGCCTTGGTACACACAACAGCTGAAAACAAGGTCCAGGAACCTGGCTTGATGATGAACCTGAAACTCTTTGTGTGCTCCCATTGACTTGCTGTAGTGCCTACAACATCCTAATATGTG